CCGTGCTGGTGATTTTGATCTCAACAATGCTGCTTGGTCAGGGAGGCCCACCGAGGTTGATGACGACAAAATAAAGGCATTGATTGAGTCAAACCCACGTTACACGACATGAGAGATTGTAGAAACATTGAACATCCATCATTCAAGTGTTCACGACCACCTGAAGAAGCTGGGATATGTAAGTAAGCTCGATATTTGGGTTCCACATGAACTCAAAGAAACTCATTTGACAGCACGTATAAAATCTGCAATATGCTCATTAAATGCGAGGAAAACAATCCTTTTTTGAAGCGACTGATAACAGGTGATGAGAAATGGATTGTTTACAACAATGTGGTGTGCAAACGGTCTTGGTCCCAACGTGATTTGCCTCAAACGACATCAAAAGCAGACATTCGTCAAAGGAAGGTTATGCTCTCAGTGTGGTGGTTTTTAAAGGTGTCGTGTTTTTCGATCTCCTACTAAGGAACCAAATAATCAATTCGAATGTGCACTGTTGGCAATTGGACAGTTTGAATGAATCCATCATCCAGAAACATCCAGAGCTTGCTAATTGTAAAGCATTTGTGTTCCATCGAGACAACATGAGACCACACACAAGTTTGATCACCCGTCAAAAATTACTGGAGCTTGGATGGGATGTGTTGCCACACCCACTGTACTTGGCTGATTTTGTGCCATCAGACTTCCACTTGTTTCGCTCTCTTCAAAACTCCTTGCGTGGTATATCATTCAATTCAGGTGAGGCTGTAAATCAGCACCTCGTTCAGTTTTTCACAAATAAAGACAGGTCCTTCTATGAAGGAGGAATTATGAAGCTCACTGAAAGATGGCAAAAGGTTATCGAATAAAACGGGCAATATATCATTGATTGATCTTTGTTCTTTATATAAATAAATGACCTTTGAAAAACAGACAAAATACATCATGACTTTTTTGACAACCCAATCGCTGAAGAGATTTCTAAGCAAAGAGTTGAAGAAACAGCTTGGTACCTCCTGACTTATAGTAAAATGCGAGAAGAGAAAAATGATTTAAAGATGGTATTGTTAAGCAAAAAGGAACCAGATCTTAAAGATTTGGAAAATTCTCAGCCTATCCATATTGCAAAAAGTGAGAAAGCATGTTTGGAAGAGAACACTAAAGGTGTGGCCAAGCAACACCTTTAATAAGGAGATTAGTGTGGGTATAAAACATGGATTTAATGAACCATCTTAACAAAAGCTAGGAATAGAGATAGAATCATACCAGTAGAAACACTGCCAGCTAGGATAAAGCAAACAGAAAATGGGGTAAAATGAAGGAACACTGTTGGACTTCTTAGACCCTGCAGGACAGGACCATAGACCAGCTTGGCTCTGATCACACTGTTCTTCGAGACAAGAGAAGAAGGACCCCAAAGGGGATTCCGAGATCATCAGGGCTGCCACTCTCACCTCAGGCCCAGGGGGAATAGGCCTTCAGGGCAGGGCTGCCTCCACCTCAATTTCAAAGGGTTAGACCAATGCCTGGCAGAGACCTGGGGCCCCAGAGAGCGCTCTCTCTCTCTCTCTCTCTCTCTCTCTCTCTCTCTCTCTCTCTCTCTCTCTCTCTCTGAGGATACAATGAGAAGATGACAGTATACACTCCAAAAGAGGGCCCTCACCAGAA